TATAAAATTTTAGATTAGCTTCCTCAATAGTTTCTTTTGTCTTGAGTGATCCAGCTGCCGGCGTTGAAAGTCTGCATCAGTGTATTTCCCAATAAAAATAGAAACAAATATTTGATGATTATTTTTTTAAATTTTGAACCTCAAATAGGGCCCACTAGTCGTGAAATTGCTCAGGGCAATTATTTTGATAGGCCAATTTACGGCAGAATTCCATACGATGACAATCACAGCGTGCACGAAACTGAACACTGCCTGCCATGGAATCCACTATTATATACAAAACCTTTACCTCAGCTTTATACAGATCTGTCATTGCTGCTTTCTCTTTCAAATCTTCAAGTTCATTGACAACATTAAACAACTCAGCACTGGTCTTTTTTAATTCCTGAAATGCAAAACTAAAATTAATGCTCTATACTGGATTCAATATTTAAAGCCAATGTGACTAGCATGAATGAGTCAACTATGTTTTCACAATGAACTGTTCTCATCGTGAAAGTCTTCATAATTCTAATTGTTAATCACCATGTCTCCAACTACACATTACCTCAAGGCTGTTGGGTGTGGTCATCTACTGTAAGGAGGTTAATTATTCACTGGGTTTTAATTTTGCTTATTTTGCTGACTGGAGAATGCGCTAAATTAAAACCTAGTGAATATGTAAAATTTTTGCATGGAACACATTATCTAAATGATAAAACCGTAAATATAAAACCCACTGAATATCCCTGAAATGGTAAATCAGCGAAATTTAAACTCAGTGAAAATTTGTCATTTTACAGTATTGTGACATACAGAGAAGGTTGTCTACAACCAAGAGAGTAACCAATCTAACAAAGAGTTATGGGGAAACCAGGATTGTCTTTGCATATTACAGCATATGACATGATGGCAATGTGTACGAATCCTCAGCAGCCGCTGGCTTGTTAGCTGTTGTATATATCTAGTAGCGTCGTTTATGTGTGGGCTTCGAATATGAAGACAACATTCAAAGGTGCTGAACGTGACGTTGCATGTAACGTAAATTTTAATAGACCTCATTGTGATGAATACGGAACAAAAGTCCAATGCATGCGCACTGCGTACAAAATATGCTAATTGCCTTTAACAAGGTTATGACGTAGTCATATCTCATGAATATTATTTGAAAGTGAAATTATTAATAGAAAGCATTTAGTATGAAACACCGGAATCATGTATATCATGTCTATTGTGGTTATTTGAAGACTGTAAATGTTTTCTATCATACTAAACTGGTCACCAAATTTACCAACTGCTTTTTCGTTTTACAATGAAATCTAAATGAGCTACGGTAAGCCAAAATAGGTCTCAACTGTATACAGCGCCACCAGTGGCTGTTCCCGGCTCCATCCAAAATATCTAACCAACATTAATTAAGCACAGTGCAATGTTGAATCATGCCTAACCTTTGTTAGCTCTTCAATTTCTTCTTCCTGTTGTCTTAATTTGCTTTCATGGTCTTTACTTTTCAATTCTAATCTTTCTTTGTCTTCCTTATGCGACCTACAACAGAGTGGGTATGTGATGTGAATAGAGCTGTGTTTCCCCGTACACAACAAACATACAGCTAAGCAAATGTCATGGTTGTTGAAAATTAACTTAGCACAACAACTACAATCTTGTCTGAAGTATTAAGTAGTTGATGACCTTGACAGTAGTTGATGACCTTGACAGTAGTTGATGACCTTGACAGTAGTTGATGACCTTGACAGTAGTTGGTGACCTTGGCAGTAGTTGATGACCTTGACAGTTGTTGATGACCTTGACAGTAGTTGATGACCTTGACAGTAGTTGATGACCTTGGCAGTAGTTGATGACCTTGGCAGCACGTAAAAAAATTTTGTGACATACAATGTACTCCTGACATTTTATTGGCACAGTTTTGTCACAGAAACTATATTCCAAGTGTGCCCAAGAGAAGTCACAGAAACCATATTCAAAGTGCGCTATATTCCCTCCAGTTCTTCAAAGCCTCCATAGTTTATACCATCCATGCACTGAGATTCATATCTGGTATTGTGAAAATGTGCGATTTGGTACATTTTGGCCGTAACATATTCTTTGAATCCCATCAAGTTATATATTTTTAGAAAGCTTATTTTTCAAATAATATGAAATAAATATTCCAACAAAAAAATGAAACCGTGTAATCACGTGATCACTGTGCAATAAGAGAGGTGCTATTTTCGAAGAAACCGAAATAAGGCCACGTAAATGATGTTGATACTATACTAAAAGGTTTGAATTTCCCAGTTTGTCTACTGTTGCGTGACCTAGATTTTGACCTCATAACACTTTTTAAAAACATCATTGATAACCGAGAAATAGTTCTATCTCAGTTTGTATTATTTTAAAAAGTTATGCTATTGAACAACGCTGTTAACTTTTTTGAGAAAGGAAATGGCACCAATGACAGACATGAAAGTCCAGCTGAAAAAATAGTTTGGGTATCCTAGGAATTTTAACATTTTTTGTGCATTTTTTGGACATGTTTTGGACATGTTTGAGACATGGTTGGGACATGGTTGGGACATGGTTCGGACATGGTTCGGACATGTTTAGGCCATGTTTAGGCCATGTTTGGGACATGGTTGGGCCATGGTTGGGACATGGTTGGGACATGTTTGGGACATGGTTCGGACATGTTTAGGCCATGTTTAGGCCATGTTTGGGACATGGTTGGGCCATGGTTGGGACATGGTTGGGACATGTTTGGGACATGGTTCGGACATGTTTAGGCCATGTTTGGGACATGGTTGGGACAACAAACACAAAGACATACGTCTGTACACTTAAAAATTTTAAATTTTTATCACAGTGAAATAAGCTTAAACTAGTTGCCATTGCCAATGACCCAGAAAATAACATTAGTAATTCTGATTATTACTGAATAAAAATGTCCCAGGCACAGGTTTTTTTGGCAGGTGAGCTAAAAGGAGAAACAGATAATTATTTTTTTCCTGGCCTAATCAATGATATTTGAAGACAGCAAACAAAAGATCATATACTCAGCTACGTGTATGTGCAGTTCACTTACCTCAAGAAAGCTTGTTGCTCTTTTGTAACATTGTTATTAAATTCTTTCAATCGACTGTTTTCTTCTCTTAATTTAGTGACTTCTATTCTCATGTTCTCGTTCTCCTTGTCTTTACATCTCAACTCATCCAGTCTAGTAGCAGCAATTTCTTCCATGGCAATGGCCTGTACAAAATACATTATTGGATAGAAAAGCCAGGTTCTGACTTGACTGCTTACTTTAACATTACCAAAATAAAGTTGCTGCCTTGGAGGATGTAAATATAATACAGCACTGAGAAATTCATATTAAAGCGAGAGGGTCGTCACCTGCGCACGCCCGGGAGTTGAGTCCCAAGCAACGATAACAACACACGCTAAAAACGCAAAGGCCCATGGGTAGATGCTTGTTTGTAAACATCAACATGCTATGGCCATCTGACACATGCGCAGGTGACGACTCCCCCCGCTTTAATCAAATATTTTATATGGACATGAGGTTTGAAGCAAAGATTTTTAAAGATGGTGAACAACAACTGATAAAAAAACAATGAATATCTTAATTTAGCCTTTTCACCACCAGTTCCCTATTTTAATCACAAATTCTCAAAGTAGTCCTGTTTATAGTCTGCACTTTCCTTTAGAGATTGGGACAAAAATAGGGTTCAATTCAAGGAATATTGAAGAATATAAAAAAAAGTGCAGATAAATTTAGGCAAGAAAGTCTGGTGGTGAAAAAGTTAGGCATCACATATCTCAATCTTTCGTGATGCCAGAATCTGAGTATAATTTATGTTTTTCGTAGTCACTGATGCCTATTCAAGTATACAATGTTTTATTGTGATGAGCTGAGTGGCGTTCAACAATTAAGAAATTATCCCAGTGAAAAGTGTTAAATACTTTTACTAAAACTATTATCCCACAATTCATTGCAAATCATAAGTCTTTTATTTCTGATAACCAAGAAATTGGAAGACAGTAGCATCAAAACTATCCCTGCATTGCGTTTCACCCACCTTGTGCGTTTTTCCCAGAAGTCTTCTATTACGCTGAGCATGGAGTTCTCGCTTATGACGCTCGTACAACAATTGATTGTGCAGTAACTGAACTTGGCCTTTTAGTATATTGATTTCATCAGGCGGGGGTGGCCCTATAAAAAAATAATGATTGTGAATCTAGATGATACAATATGCAGAAATCAAAACAAATAATTTAAGTGTATCATTCAATAGGTTTCATACTCCAGTCAGCTGATATAGAAGTTTGTAGTAATATATTATCAGTAAATATGTGCAGCTAATTTTTGTACAAGTGATTTTTATTACTACATTTACTATGATGATACATTTGATTACGTCTCAATATTCTGGTTTATTTTTGCTCATCTTTTTCAGGGGCCGTACCAGAATTCACTGATTAATAATACGTGTCCAACGAAAAGACATAAGATTTGATCCTTATTTTTTCAAACATTTTGCTCAAGGTAATATGTAGTTGGTTAAAAAATAATAAAGAAATTTGGTGATTTGTTGTATAAGTCTTTGTAATTTGTTGTGCAAGTCTCAGTGATTTGTTATTTATTACAAGAAAGTATTTGCCTTAACAAAGCTATGTGTAGTGCTATTTTAGTTTTTGTTTAGTCATTTGTTTTTACAAATTTAACGTCTTCATGAATAAAGTCATATTATGTCATGCTTTTATTGTCATATGAAACACTACAGAAATGTTGTCTTAATCGTTCAACAGATCCTTTGAGATCTACATGTACCTGGGTATACAACTCAGACTACATCTCCAAAATGTTTTAAAAACTGTTGTTTTTTTTTGCATTCTTCTGACGCACAAATAAATACGATGACATATGTAAGTATTGTATGCTTTAATTTTTATGTGCAGTGTGTCTTGAAAACGTGTAATTCAAATCTGAATGAAATTAGCATAGGCATGTCTAAGAAACAAAGTGATGAAATGTTGCTTTTTGTTTTGGGGGGAACAAAAATGGCCGCCAGTCAGTCAAATGTCAACAAATTCAAAACACATATTACATTTATAATCATTATGTCTTGTCTGCCCAGGTACGTCAGACGAATAAATTCAGACTTGCATTCATAAGCTACACATTATTCCCTGCAACACAGAACCGCTTTATTTGAAAATGATAAACAATCATAAAAGTTACCTCCAAAGTGAGTCCAATTTACTGATGGCTGGGACGTCAATGGTAGTCTAAAAACAATACAATTACACTCTAATTATGACCATGAAAATAGTGAATATAACAAGTCATTAAAAATGACACAGTCCCCGTTAAATGTTTGAAAGTTCTCTTTGTG